CAGTGCACTAGAACATATTTTGATCAATTCATTTTTGTCTAATTTATTTTTATTTATCATATTTATGAAATATTTGTTGATCTTGTTTATTGGCATTTATTATTTTTGATATTATTTATTTAAATGTATCATTTATTTAATTAATTTTTGTATTGGTTTTTCAGTTGAATTATACGTTCAGGGTAATCAACAGTTAAAAATATACTGTTCAAATTATACACATGTTTTAAAGTTCAATAAATGGATGTTTTCAAAGTCAATGAATAATCGNTCCAGCAGGAAAAGCTGGAGGCCGGAAAAGAGTGAGACAGGTAGCGCGCAAAAGTAAAAGTGGAACCGAGAGTGGTACGAGAGACAGAACGAGAGCAAGACAGACAGACATTACGAGAGCGAGACAGTTTGTCCCCGTACCACTGGTTGAAAACCACTGCTGTAGATCACTGCCGGTACGTGCGCTGGGAGCGCACCGTTTAAGTTTGAAAGTTGAAAAGTTTGTGTGTCTGAAACGCTATGTGATACAGTACAGTTTACACAGCACATGTTCTGTAGCTACTATTGCACTAAATGCTAACACTTGAATACGTTATGCAAATATGCAACTTGTTTGTTGAAATGTTAATAAATGGGAGCTTCCTCAAACAGCCATCTTATTCCCGACAATCCCCTCTGTGCACGAACCCTTACATATGGTAATTAAACATTAAAACACCTGCGGCTTATAGTCCAGTGCGGCTTATATATGTACACATCATTCAATTTAGCTGCTGCGGCTTATATTCAGGTGCGCCTTATAGTCCGAAAATTACGGTAGTTTGACTGGAATGTTCTATATAGTCTGATGACTAAAATAGTTAGTTGTCTTTGACTAAAATGCTCAGACTTTTAGTCGACTAAAACTTGACTAAATAAAAACAGGATGAAGGTGACTAAAACTAACAAGGACATTTGATACAGGACTAAGACTAAATAAAAAAAATAGCTGACAAAATCAACACTAGCTTGGATGAAAAGGAAGGAGAGAAAGTAAGTATGTAGAAAATGTCAAAAAAGGAAGATCCCATAAAAAATAAAATGTGCATTTGACAACACAGCTGGGAGTGTGAATACAAAATTCAGTTCATTTTTGAATAATAGACGTCACCGTTGAACTTCCTTCTTTTATTAATGGTATTTTTCATCGTAACAAGTCCTATGAAATGTTATGTTTGAATATGCAAATAAGGCATTATCTCAAGCAATCTTTAAGTGAATTTAGGAGAAGTCTACACACACCGACACACATATTAAAATAAACGTGCCAATATGTAAACGGTATGTTTTTTATGTCCACTAGTCTAAAAAGAAGACCTTAAGGCAGCAATATAGTCTAAATTCTCAAAATTCTCCATAAATGCTAGTGTCTCGCGTTAAGGGGGATGCCTGAAAGAGTGACATCATGTGACACACACCTCATCATGTGATCTGATAACCTCCAGGAACAGCTGATGTTACCTTCATGATCTCTGCGATCTTCTTCCACTCCTCTTGGGTGGGGTCGGTGCCGGTGGGGTTGTGAGCGCAGGCGTGGAGGACGAAGATGGAGTGCTCCGGAGCTTTCTGTTGAGAAAAGATAAGATATACTTTATTGATCTCTAATTAGGAACGTTTTCTCTTCAGAGCAGCAGGTTAAAACGAGGCTGAACGATTAATCCATTTTAAATCGAAATCGCGATTTGAAATGATGCAATTATCAATTGTTTTGTTCTTCTTGTGTGTCAGTCATCCACACCAATCAGAAGTGCTGTGCTCCANGTGTGTGTGAGAGAGTGAAAAGAGCTATTGTTTGTTTGTAGCCTTTATTTAACCAGGTGAAAGCCCCTTGAGATCAAAAGATCTCTTTTTCAAGGGTGACCTGCTATATTCAGAGCTCTGCTGTATTGGCTACAATCTTTCATCGTTGCTGTTGTATGATTGGTGTTTAGCTACGGTATTTAGCGTCTACAGCACCTCCGCTTTTAGGGTTGACGTAGACCCAAACGTCGCCCGGTGTTGTTGGGTTATGGCTAGAAAGGATCCGTCTAGTGTAAATATGACGTCACGTTGTCGTTGTAACCGGAGCGGCTCGGAAACACATCTACAGCAGTAACATGATGCAACATACACATTAATGCAGCAGCAATATTAATAGAGAAACATCAGACATAATAGTAAAACACTGCAAAGGAACATTTTATTGCACCAGGAGCTATCTTGGGACTTTTCCTGCGACAANTGGCTGCGGCTTGTTTAGAACTTTTGCTATTCGAACACGGAATATGGGACTGAGACTCTGAGTGCTAACAGCTTACGGCTGATGTTGCATTTTTCGGTTCACCATTCAGAACCGATAACGCCCTCAGTGCTCCCGCCGAATCGCGTACCTATAGGTTAACTACCTCCAGTTCCTAAACTGTAATCGGAACACGAGCATAACATGAGCCTCGCTAACGAGGCCCTCAACCCGAGCCGCCATAGCCATACGTACGTGAAGCGAGCGAGCCCTGCAGCTGGAAATGCGCGTATGTACTAATACCGGACAAGTCAAAGGTACCTCAAAAGTCCTGCAATCTGGAAAATTTTAGCACACTTGGTCAAGCATCAAGCAAATTGACTTCAGTATCTCACACATCACTGAAAACATCGCTCAAAATACAAAATTACACAAGGAAATGACTTGTATCTTGTGTAGATGCCAATTCCTTTTTCTCGTTTCTAATTAACTGCACGGACGTAATCATCTTATTTTAGAAATATACTTGTTACTTAAGACATTAATGGGCACAAAGAACAGGTTGGCCCCGCCGGGTCTTAAAAAGTCCTTACATTGATTAATCAGAATTTAGGCCTTAAAAAGCGTCGTTAAATATGATCAAAAAAATAAGAAAAGTATTAACGCAATAGAAATGATTAGAAGGTCTAAAAGTTTATCGGATTCTGAAAGTACTTCGTTCGATCCAGCGTCTAAATGTTTTTTGGGGAAATGTTGGGCTGCGAATAACCAGTACGGTAAGAGCCCTTTCAGTCCCCCAACAATCGTATGAAATAAACTCAACAATGGAACAGTAATCACTCGAACTTTGTTCCCCCGCCCCTTATCAGGAGAACACCCAGACTATAAGCTAGAACCAGCTTCAGCAGCGGCAGTACCAGAAATTCACGCCTATCCTCTCGAATTCTACGTACAAATAATATACTAAAAAATATATGGGGAAGTGTAAGTTCAACATACTTGGATTGGAAAACATTTACTTTAGTGCTTGGTGAAACCATGGAGGGAACGTGTTGAACCCCGCCGCACCTTTACGCAAAACAAAATGTGGCTGTTTGTTTTGCTCGTGCAGCGTTAGCTAGGGCAGCGTTAGCTAGTGCAGCCATCCAGCACAACAACCGGGGACCTCCGCGCCGAGCTTTGAGTCAGCGCTCCAATACCCTAAAAGCGGACGATGCGCGTGAAGCTAAATAGCCCAATCATAACAACAGCATGAAAAAGCCTATCCCCTGTGTGCCTTGGCAGGCTAGAAAGGATCCGTCTAGTGTAAATATGACGACACGTTCTCGTTGTAACTCTTGTTGTAATCGGAGCGGCTCGGAAACACATCTACAGCAGTAACATGATGCAACATACACATTAATGCAGCAGCAATGTTAATAGAGAAACATCAGACTTAATAGTAAAACACTGCAAGGGAACATTTTATTGCACCAGGAGCTATCTTGGGACTTTTCCTGCGACAACGTTGACTTGCCTGTGAATAAAAAATAAACCATAGTGTTGGTGATCTACAGTGTTGTCATTCTTCTTTGAACACCAGCAAGACCGCTAACACCCTATTTCAACAATCACACTCCCTGTCATTGACATAATTAATAGATAGTTTAGCTTCTCAGCATCATTTGCTGTGGCCAACTGATGTTAACGATCGTAACTGAAAGGCTGCCTGCCAAACGTAAACATTCAGCCACGTGACATTCAGCCAAACTCTCGCGAGAGTTTTACACAAGACGGATCCTTTCTAGCCATAACCGTGTTGTTGCGGGAGCTTGCACTAGCTAACGCTAAACTAGCTAACGCAACATTAGCAAAACAAACGCCAATTTATTTTGCAAAAGGTGCGGCGGGCTTCAAACACGTTCCCCTCCAC